TGCCGGGGCGAACCCTTCATGGTCTATCTTACCACTCTGTGGGCTTACCGGGCTTATCCGGCCCTTTAGAACACCCCTTCTTTTTTTGGGGAGGAATGGTGTCCGACACCCCGCAGGCCCCGAACCGGCGACCGCTGTACTCGGGGGCGCTCCATATGTACGCGACACACGTGGCTCGTATGGCGCAAACAAAATAAGGGCCAGGCACCGCGTTGCCGTGCTACCCAGGCAAATTGTAGAGGGCGTTACGCCTACCTAGCAGGTTGTATGTTTAAAGGTATACTAGGGGCACGGCTCTGCGAGCCTGACCTGCTCGCTGTCTTGTGCTCTGCGTGTATATCCAGGCTCGCAAGCCGCACGCACAACATTCCGCCGGATGTCCACCTCCCGCTGGAGGATCGCCTGCAGACACCACCGCCGCAAGCAACGGCTCCGCGAGCCAACGCTTCGCCGCCCGCTGTCTATTGTTCTGTGTGTCTATCCAGAGTCGCTAGCCCCACTCGCATAACATCCCGCCGGATGTCCGCCTCCCGCCGGAGGATCGCTTACAGACACTACCGCTGCAAGCTACGGCTCCGCCGAGCCAACGCTTCGCCGCCCGCTGTCTATTGTTGTGTGTGTCTATCCAGAGTCGCTAGCCCCACTCGCATAACATCCCGCCGGATGTCCGCCTCCCGCCGGAGGATCGCTTACAGACACTACCGCTGCAAGCTACGGCTCCGCCGAGCCAAGGCTTCGCCGCCCGCTGTCTGTTGTTCTGTGTGTCTATCCAGGGTCGCTAACCCGGCTTGCATAACATCCCGCCGGATCTCCACCTTCCGCTGGAGAATCGCTTACAGACCCTACCGCTGCAAGCTACGGCTCCACCGAGCCAATGCTTCGCCGCCCGCTGTCTATTGTTCTGTGTGTCTGTCCAAGGTCGCCAGCCCCACTCGCATAACATCCCGCCGGATGTCCACCTCCTTCCGGAGGATCACTTCCAGACACTACCGCTGCAAGCTACGGCTCCACCAACCCAACTCTTCGCCGCCCGCCGGAGGATCACTTACCGCCGCACGCCACGGCTACGCAAGCCAACGCTTACGTGCCACTCCATGCGTCCACCCGCAAGGCTAAGTATCTATGGATTAGGCCAGAGGCTCCCAGCCCGCGGGGCTGGGGAGGAGGGGGGCTCTCGGGTCGCATTTGCATTAGCCCCACGGGATGAGGGAGAACCTCGGCCAAACCAGTACAGGAACGCCCCGCCGAGGTCACGGGGGGGGGGGGGGAGATCTCCCGCTAGCATAACCCACGGGTCCCCTGCTTACAATCTGCGGCACCGCCGCCGGGGCAGTGTGTTCCGGGAAGCGGGCCGCCATTCGGTGACTCGGCGCAGCATGCATACACCGCAGCTTGGCCGCCGTGCCATGCTGCCTGTTTAGGGAATGTTCACGTGTGCAGGCGTATGCGTGTGTGCGTTTGTGTTGCATGCATTTGTGCTGCATGCGCTTGTGCCTGTGTCCTCTTAGGCTCGCTAGCCGCCGCTCTCTCAGCGCGAGCAGAGCACGTGATTGCCAACTCGGTAGCCACTGGCACACATCGCACGTAACCCCCAGGCTGGCGTGCATTCCTGGAGTTCATGGGTCGCATGCGCCGCGACGCACATCACCCAGATCAGAACAACGTCATGCTGTTCGCTGCCGCAATATCTCACTCAGTCAGTGCCAGCACTCTGAGAGTCTACCTGGCCGCGGTCAAATACCACCTCCTCCGCATGGGAGGCCCGGTCGGAGTTACATCCTCAAGCCGCATCACAGCCCTGCTCAAGGGCTTAGGGAGGGAGAGAGCGTCGCTCCCCAGGCATCCGTCAGCACGCCCTCAGCGCCAAGCGATCACCATCCACCAGCTGAAGGCTCTCCGCCAGTTCTTGGATCTGTCCTTGTACTCCCCGGCAGACAGACTGATGCTATGGGCTGCTCTGACGACAGCCTTCCACGGCATGCTGCGTGTGAGTTAGTACACGTCGCTGTCACCACACGGTCTCGGCGGCTTCAAGACGCTGAGGCGCAAACACCTCCAACTAGCCCAGCAGGAGGCCTCTCTGCAGCTCCAGAGAACAAAGACGTCTCAATTAACAGCAGGCGGGGAAGTAGCGCTGCACCGCTACGCTGACCCCGCACTATGTCCCGTCCGAGCCCTGCAGGCTTACGTTCGGTCCAGCAAATGGAGCAATGACAAGCAACCCCTCTTCAAGTTTCAGGATGCTCGCCATCTCACGTCGAACGACATCAATGCTGTCCTACACAAATGCTGTCCAAGCATCAGCGGCCATTCCTTTCGCGCCGGGGGAGCCACACACACGGCAGATCGAGGCGCCCCAGAGTATGCCCTGACGGCTGCAGGCCGCTGGTCGAGCGGGGCATATCGTACGTACATTCGCAGGCCCGCAGGCATGCCACAGCACTACTAGAGCCTGCGTGTCGCAAGCCACTCGGTACCTTTATTGGAGGCACGGGTGCTGCCGATGGGCGCCGCATAGTGCACGCACATCGGCACCATCGAACTATTCATGTGTACTAAGATTTAGTGTTCCGCTGCCATAGAAACCTAGTAGTACACGTAGCCGTTCCGACGGCGCACGACCCCGCGGGTCGCTTCTGCTGCCCTTGCCTCTCTGATGCGTGATATGTGTACATCATTTATAATCATGACCTCATACTGAGTACATGTACGTCATACTTGATTACCGATCACAGGCTCATGATTATTCATGCTGGTATATACGCTTGCGACACCCCACAGGCTCGTCTCTCTTGTGTGGCATGAGGGTTAAATGTTGGTTTGCGTTGCGCAAACCGTAGTTAACCTACATGTCACAGAGCCGCATCTCCCGCATGGAGATGCCGTCCGCAGACACGCCAAAACCGGCTAAGTCTCATACGAGCTCCGCTAAAGTCGTACGCACTGCCGGGCTCCCGCGCGGGGCCCCACGCAAGCATTCGCAACCGCGATACGCGTACGGCATGCCGCATAAGCCACCTATCCGCCTTAGGTGCAAGCTCACCCAAGGCCACCCTCGCAAGGCAGGAACACGTAAAGACATTCACCAGTTATTTGTTGTGCCTGCCCGCCGCAGAAATTGTTTCCCACTCTCCCGCACTGTTTAAAAGGCAGGAGGCACGGGTGCTGCCGATGGGCGCCGCATAGTGCACGCACATCGGCACCATTGAACTATTCATGTGTACTAAGATTTAGTGTTCCGCTGCAATAGCAACCTAGTAGTACACGTAGCCGTTCCGACGGCGCACGACCCCACGGGTCGCTTCTGCTATCCTTGCATCTCTGATGCGTGATATGTGTACATTATTTATAATCATGACCTCATACTGAGTACATGTACGTCATACTTGATTACCGATCACAGGCTCAGGATTATTTATGCTGGAATAAACGCTTGCGACACCCCACAGGCTCGTCTCTCTTGTGTGGCATGAGGGTTAAGCATATATTCCACCTCGGCCATTTAGCAATGAAATTTATACGCCTATATTTCCCTTCTGTAGCACGAATACAAGAGCAAGCTGTTGACAAAGGTTTTGTAGATTTGGTGACTATTCTGACTGGAGAGACCTGTGCACAAGAGGACAGCAAGACCTGATAGGACGCACTGGGCTTGTAAAACAGGGCTATCCGGTGAGAGACAGATGCAGGATGGGTTCTAGTGTGCATCAGCGGTTACTTGCAAGCCACGCGCCATATGAACAATATACTGGTACTGTTATCTGATGTCTGGTGTTTGTCTTCCGATACGTCTACTAGGGCTATCGTGAACAACTACACGGGACAATAGTCATATCGCCCAGTCGTGGACGCGCCGTTTGCCAGGATGGAAAGGAGACGAGCTCTGGATTAAACACCAAATGTCTCTTGTTTCAGAAGACCCGACCGAAAGTGTTTCGGGGCGGCGAATGAAACTTCTGTCAGTGCAGGAGATATTTACTGGCATTAAGAGAGCATGTCTGCGGAAAGCGGAACACATGTGCAAGTAGATCTCTCGGATTTCGCTCAAATTTTGCAGGTAGGCTTGCTTTGGGATGTAGATCGACATTTTAAAGCCCGCGCAAAATCTTTTGAAGCGAACCATTGTATTGGCATGCCCCTCAATATTGGCCCACTATGGGCACGATGTATGGGTTTACAAACTTGCCACGGCACAGCGTAGAAGAACCAGCTCTATCAAGCCAACATTACCTCACCTTAGAAGAGTTCTTGGGCAGCACTACTTAGCCACGCTTGCATCCCGGAAGACGAGGCCAATCATCCCTTGACGCCACAAATGATCGTCTTGAAAATAGCAAAATTACAAGCGCTGATAAAACAGCGAGCTACGTCCTCAATTAGCAAACACTATGCACCGAGAGATAGAAAAACACCTCTTCTAGCACTGACGAAATGTCCCCCATCATCCTTTTGGGGTTGTGGTTGTGGTTTGGAGTGACAAGTGATCACTGCTATCTGTTTTATCACACTTATCCATCGTCTAGGCGTCACGACATCGTGAAATATAAGAATAATAAAAATAAAAATAAAAGGTTTGTGTGGTTCGCTGTTGTTTACCTACAATCATTATTGAATATCCATATCATGTCGCCACATTTTCCTGCTGGATGCTAGTCGGATGGGTGCCATTCTCCAGCCTTCGACCGAGTGCTGCTGGATAATGCATGCATACCTGGAAATGATCCTGATAACTCAAAGCCGAAACAATCTACATTTTGAATGGTGGACAAAGAAGACTCGCACTTCTCACATACAGCTCTGGGCCAGTGGTTTTTCGTAGGAGTTCATGCAAGACACATGCTCCCTTGGAAAGTGGTCCTCACATTTTCCTGAGTACAAAATCCCGATACTATACATTGTAAATTGATAACACTAGCTGGGTCAGATAAGGGCGAGGGAACCAGAGAGAATTACCCCGAACACGTTCTCAATATTCATACCATACACGTCACTAGTACCACTACTGTTATGCACATGTTTATAAAACAATTCATAACCACAGTGAACGGATATACTGATTATGCATGCGAAATTTAGAGAGAAGTGCTACCAAACAGAAACAAAGTGTGAATAAAATTCTAGCGACTTTTGAATCATAAACATAAGCAAAAAAATATACACCTGCTGCAAGTTTATAACGACCGAGCTGCAATTTGCTGCTATGCAATGGATTTACTGACAGGGATTAAATGCACAGGTGGGATATATAATGTCAATGGTAATTCGTCCGGTGATATAGATATAGAGATTCGGTTACGAATCACCGTCAACATACATGTATAGCAAATTACTTCAAAAATCTCGCTCCGAACCGTTTACCACTGAACTTACTTGTGAAAGTTACAAATGTTATCCATACCGATCCGTGACATCAGGACACAAGAGCTGCAATGAATATTTGAGAGTATCTCAGTAATAAATGCATGCGCTACTGGAGTTTGAGGCAGTGAGATATGAAGAAAAAACTCAGAAAGACTGCAACATATGGCGTGTTTGCTGTGAAAAAGTATACCATGATACAGTTTTGTGTGAAGAGAAAAAAGGCCCTATAAGTTACTAGTTATAATTAACTGTCCACCAAGGTAACGAATTAATAATTATAGCATCAGATAGTGAGACAGCACGGCACAAGACGAACAAGTTTATTGAGACATTCTACGACATGACACTGATTTCACACGTCACCTGGCTTTATATTATCTCTTTACCTTTGTGGACTTTGAGTCATAGCTAGTAACTTATAGGTCCTTATTCTCTTTACATATTACTATTGGCTCAACAACAGAGTTAAATGATACTGCATCATTTGCATTTCGTTGAGGATATGTATCATTCTGTAAAAATTAAAAATTCCTGGGCTGTGAAAAACATTTGGCGTTATTGGATGCTGACATAAGTATGCTCTTCTTCTGTGGCCGGTCCCCCTTCCTCTGCACGCCCAGCTCCACATCCGGCACGAAGAACATCATTCTCGCGCAAATCCACACAGCCATATGCATCATTCCTAGCCAGGATCCAGCTCTCGTACGCCTCATTGGGATCCATACTAGTGCACGTGTTCTGAACCAAATCAAGTTCATCATCATGGGAAACAGTTTGAGTTCTTAAGTCCAGTTCCCAGTTAGTCAGCACTGAAAGAGGAAAACATAATATTGTCAGAACGATGGATACGTGGATAAGATATCAACTATGAACTTTGTGTCACCTTTCAGTTATGCAAAGAGAGCTGCATGTTTTCACTCCCGTTGTACGGTTAACCTCAACTTTCTGAAAATCATGCACACTTCCGAATGTATAAGTGTGTAAGATGAAGGGCAGGTCTATAGTGCTAAATATGGACTTCGGGGGTGTGATTGAGTTCTACAAGCACACATGATGCGCAGTTGCCAGCGGTAAACAATATATCAGCACACGAAGCAGAGATGCCATATGATGTTGTCGACTAGGCCTTTCATTCCATTACTCTTCAGGTCGAATACAATGGTGATTAAAGGGGAAGTTAAGGCAAAAACTAAAATTTCACCAGTTGTAGTCTTCGGGGTGCTGAGTCGAATGGTCTTGGTCCGAGAAAGCTGAGACGCTCCCTTCCTACTTGAATCCCAATCGAACTCGCGCACTTTCACCGAAACTGGGTGACTGCGCCCTACGAGATGGGGATTTGTATGCAAAATGTCACTAAAAGCGCCGTTTCGTTCTTATAAAAGCACGGATGACCGCGATTGGCCCATATGTTGTAGTCTTTTGGACGCTGAATCGACTGGTTTTGGTCCGAAAAGGCTGCGATGCAGCGTTCCTCCTTTATTCCCAATCGAACATGGTTGAAGAAGCGGTCACGTGCTCCTGGGTGCCAAAATCACCTGGTCACCACGCCAGCAGGCGACAACTTTCACACCAAGGTTCAACTCGAGTGACAGGACTGCACCCAAAAAAGGTCAAAACAGGCTGTACGTTGTACCCTGCAGGCACGGTGACCAGGTGACTGGTGTACCCAGGAGCACGTGACCGCTTCTTCAACCATGTTCGATTGGGAATTAGGGGCGAACGCTGCATCGCAGCCTTTTCGGACCAAAACCAGTCGACTCAGCGTCCAAAAGACTACAACATATGGGCCAATCGCGGTCATCCGTGCTTTTATAAGAACGAAATGGCGCTTTTAGTGACATTTTGCATACAAATCCCCATCTCGTAGGGCGCAGTCACCCAGTTTCGGTGGAAGTGCGCGAGTTCGATTGGGATTCAAGTAGGAAGGGAGCGTCTCAGCTTTCTCGGACCAAGACCATTCGACTCAGCACCCCGAAGACTACAACTGGTGAAATTTTAATTTTTGCCTTAACTTCCCCTTTAACAAGTAAGCAAGTCCTTATAACCGGCACTTTTGGCGGGCAGAGCATTGACAAAAATAGCATTTGAAAAATAGTGCTAGTGGCACCCACTCTCACTTTACCATTCAAGCGCGTGCACGCAACAAATCTCACCTTGCTGTGCTTGAGGCAATGTACATTGCCAAGCTGAAGCCTGAACTGTGGGTGCAAAAGAAGTATGTGCGCAAGTTGTCACTGTTTTGACATTGTAGTACCGTAGTCCCCACTGTTGTCTGATGCTGGTAATATTTATTGTCTCACTGTGTACTTGGCGCCTCTAGCGCTATCTTTAAAGTGCTATTTGGTCTATGCTCTAACCGCTAAATATGCTGTTGGCCCCACTAGCGCTATTTTTCAAGTGCTATTATTGTCAATGCCTTGCTCGTCAAAAGTGTCGGTTATGAGGACTTTCTTACTACCTTGTCAATCATCATTTGATTTGACCTGAAGAGTAATGGAATGAAAGGCTTAGTCGAAATAATAATATGGCTCCTGTTCTTTGTGTGCTGATTTGCTTTCCTCTAACCAAAAATCTATTTAAGCACTATATCGCGAGACATTATTTTCATGATCGATGATGTATATAAAGCTTATGATGGTATCTGCCCATGATACACAATGCACTGAGGCCTGTAGGAATGCATGTATTATTGTTCCACACAGGAATTTCGAGTTAGAGAGGCCAGATTGAAGCGGTAACGTCATTTTTCGATGGTAAAGTATTTCTAAGAAACGTGTCCAGAACATCACTCTTGGAATTTTAAGATGAATGCTGTAGTACCATTTGGTAAAGTTTTGAAACCTCTGAATGTATCAATTTCGCTTTTTCCCAGAAAGGCAGGAAAAGGAACCCTATTACTATTCAGAAGCTCCAAATTTGGACGTTACGTACCAGGATCAGGTTTCGTGGGTGTCAACTTTATTTTCCATAGCAGGAAAACTGTCGCAGCCAGCACCAGCAGTCCTGCGCCAGACCCTCCCGCAATTATCGCTGCAGATTTGGAGCCGCTTGCGCTAGCTTGGTAGCCACTGGTTGCGTCGAGATGATTTGAACAATCAGCCTTTTGACACGGTGGTACAGGCAGCTCTTGTCCAGTCAAACAGGGGTATGCTTGTGGCGTCGAACGAAAGACAGTCACCTGACTCGTCCGATTTGAATTGTGCTGAACTTTTCTCGTTTTGCAATTTCTGCTTTCATCCCGCGCACTGATGAAATCTTCAGAGAACCACAAGACGCTTTCCAGATTTGATTTTGAACGTCTCCTTATCCTCCTGGGTTACCTCGAGAGAGATTACTGTCAGCAACTGCACAGAAGAACTGGCAGCCATGGCTGAAGTGAAGAAAGGAATGCGCTGCCACGAGGCAAGCAAAACTGAAACTGATGATGTGTTTGTTCTCTTTCGGGCATGCACAAAACACAGGACGGCGTGACTGGATAAACTGGACTCCTGGACTGTGAATAGGGGACTTGTAGAAAAAGTGTACTCCTTATAGGCAAGAGTATATTACCCTGGGGTTATATACTCTTGATAACCCCGGGTTATGTACTCTTGTTATAGGGGTATGCGCGGCAGGATGAAGCTGATCAAAACTGAGTGGACTCCTGGACTCTGTATAGTGGATTTTGGACCAATGGACTCTATATAGGGTGCTGGACATCATATAGTGCATGGACTCTATACTGAGTCTTACACATATACAGTCAGAAAGTGCAACAACTAGGCACACAACTGACAAGAGTAGTGAGACATTCGACGTCCTGACACCTAGCTTCAACAAATCTCCGTAGCGCTAACCAACAGCCTTCCCCTTTCTTTACTTATCTTTGATATTAATGACCCACCCAAGTTGGGTGGTGTGCTGCTTTGCTGTTTCGAATTGTAGTTAGACCGCTTTGTCAAATATCGTACTGGTCTCGTCATCGTATAGTAACAATCGACATTCTTTGTTCCGTTGGGACTGTAGCTTTTGCTCGTTTTCGTTGAGCTTGCCTTCCCCTCTTTGGTCTTTCCATAACCTTGAACCTTCCAAGTTGGAAGGCTGTCGGTTAGCGCTACGGAGATGTGTCGCAGCTAGGTGTCAGGACGTCGAATGTCTCAGTACTCTTGTCAGTTGTGTGCCTAGTTGTTGCACTTGCTGACTGTATATATTATCCAGTTACAGTGTCGGAGAGTTACTCTGAACTCGTATCCTTATGTCCTTTTCCTTTCCACAATTATTAATATTCTCAATTCATTGATGACATGGTGTCAACCAATATTATAAATGAGGGCTACCAGCTATGGAATAAAAGAACAAGAAGGCAAAAATGCACACGCAAAATATGGCCAGTTAAATGAGAATGAAAACCTCTCGATGGGCGAACAGCCTTTGGTGAATCATAAAATAAATAAAAGAAAGTAAGACCTACTGTCCAGTACTCTCTGTCTCTCTCTCTGCCTCGCTTTCTCCGAGTCCCCCCCCCCTCACAAGTCTCTCTACCTCATATGGAAAACCAGGAAATTCGCCATATCATTAATTTTTGTTTTCTTATATCATATCCTGATACCTGATTATTTTCGTTTTCTGTCCTACCTATCTTTTCTTGCATTTGGTGCTTGGTCCTGCTGCTGAACGTGAGACACATAGTCGAAGGAGGTAGGCCCAATTCATCAGCAGGCTGCTCCGGCTTCTCGCTTTATTGTCAGGTCTCCATCTTCTTCCTGTCTTCCCAATCTGTACTCTGCAGGTCTGTGCACTTCAGTGCTAATAATTTAAAACTAAAATTAAGGTTCTACCCCTGTAAGAGTGCAAATTTATGCTCCAATATTTCGACTACCAAATTATGCCAATAATCATGCTGCCCTATTCCGCGTAGCCTCTTGCTTATAGCCAGCGATGCTCTATCCCTAGTCTACATGTTTGGTGCAGCCGTAATCTGTAAATACCTAGGTTGTTAGGACACGAACACGCACTGTGAACCATGGTTTGTGGACAGTGTTATAGTACTACAGTAGCAGGGCTACCATCACGCCATAAACGTATTCCGTACCCACGAGCTTTGCAAAGCCGATATTTTGAGAATGTACCGTGAGACATGCACTGATGGTACCACCACTTCGTAGAATGCCTCCCGTTCATTTCTGTGCTCCTATCCTTATTCTCGTCAGCTGTGTACTTCAGCAGTTCAATTCAGCGCTCCAGTCCTCTTTAGTCTCGTGAGTTTGTGTACTCGTTTTGCTGTTTGTTTGGTTTATTTGAATTCGCACAATAACTTAAGCTATTCTCTCCTCCCTCTTCTGAGTTTGACTCTCCACCGGCCTTCTCTCCTCCCATTCCCGGCCTTACATTGTCTTGGGCCTCTGCAACCCCCCCCTCCCCACCACCATCACCACCCAACGCCCACACTACATTGTCACATGGCACAACTCAACCATTCGCTGCCAAAATAATATCAATCAATTAATCAATCAAATGATAGTTCAATGATTTTTCTTTACACACCTAAACTTACGCTTTCTGTGATTCCATACCGGCTGTTGCGATGCAGCCCCCAAGAGTTCCTAAATGATGTAAACTGTTTTCTAGCACCCTTTTTCTGTGGAGGTTTTCTCATGATGACGATTGTAAAAGAACAAAATTGGTGAGTTTTGACGGCACTGTCGAAGTTAACTTAACCTAATCCGTTGTGTTAGATAATGTCTTACCGACTGGTTGCGCGCCACTGGTTCGTGCACACCCATAATTAAGGTAGACCAAAATCCCAATGTACAGCCACAGCTGTACCGGTATCTGCAATGCAGCCATTCGTGTCTCGATGTGGAGCGTCTGCAAACCTGGTCACTCGTCACTTTGCTCAGAGAAGTATGTCTGCAAACGCACTTCTAACGTCTCTAGGCTCAGGGAAGTAAGTAGCCTTCACCTACTATTGAAAACATTACGCTTTTAGTTGTGCAAGAGATTTCGAGCCACATGTAAGTAGTCCTGATTTCTCGTGATGTCCGTTGTACAAAGAAGTACGTGACCAGCTTTGTGTGTCACCTGCTAGTAAAACAGTGGAGAGTACACGACGTATTAGCACATCTCTCGTTTGCTTCCTCCTTAACAGCTTATTACCACCTGCTTGGTTTTGTACCAACAGAAATGAAGGTGAAAGATCTGTCCGCTTGCATTCGTTCTCATCATCGTCTGTCATGTACTGTTCGCGTGATTTCGTGCAAAGAACTGGCCCCATACTCCTACTACTACTGTTGCTTGTTAGCTTCAATGCACATGTCGTTTGTTTTGCATACACTGTACAGTGATATCTGCTGAGCACATGGCGTGCATGAGTCACCCTGCAGATGTCAGGAGTTCTCACTGGAGTGCAACAGAGAAAGAGAACGGAACAGGTCAGCTGCCCTGCGCAGAAATAGGGCTTGAAAGTGCTACGTCACAGCATAGCAACAATTTCAAAAATTCAAAAATTGGATCCACTTGGATCCAGTTTTTGTATGGATCCAAGCACATTTCAAGCCGTCTTACTCTCAGCAAGGTGATGTAACCAGTGAAACTGACTGATTTGGCTACTGGGGGCGGGGTTACAACTGGTGGCGAAATAAAAGTCACACCTGCATGCGACATGAGTGGGTTGCTATGCACCCACATACTTAGGCAATAGCAAAGTCACACCTTAGTGGATCCAAAAATAGAAATCTGATGTCAACTTACTACTCCCTGGCCGTTTTGACGTCATCACTTTCAAGGCCTATTGTGACGTAGAGCATACTACATCTAACTACGAAAGAGGGACTGGTCAGCCTGCTTCAAGCAGGAACTGTTACTGTGACGAATAGTGTGTGAAAAGGAGCAGCCGCGGTGCAGCTGCCCATCCTCCATATCCCCTGTCTAACATGTTTGATTACCAGCAGATGGTTCAATGGTCTGCTTTAACTGCGCAGATGACACTGCGTTCCCTGCGAGTAGCTCTCCAGCAGCGTAGCTGATCAGGTGGCAGTCACTTGCGTGTAAATCCAGGTACTGTAAAAGCATGCAGTTGGGCGAGTCCTGCACATTGCAGATCAATGTGTCCATGCTTGCTCCAACCAAGACCATGCTTTTTTTTTACAAAAACCACTGAAGGTAGCAGCGTACCCCAAAATTCCCTGACAAATTTAATTTGTAAATTTATATCGCGGGCTGCATCATGTGAAAGAACATGAATAGCTGGAAAATCTGCGAAAATTTTGTCTCGAACTGACCAGCCGTACAAGAGTTATGGTTGAAAATGTTCCCTTGCAAGGAAAGATTTTTTTGTTGCACGCTGTCAATTTTTGGCAGCACTGTATTTAAATGTGAGCAGACCGTGCGCAACTTGTCGTATCATGGAAACACGCCAAAGTGTGCAGAATTTTGCTCCAAGGCCAAAAAAGTCCAAAAATCACGTTTTTCGGACTGCACACCGGCGGGCTTTGCCCGCCGCCCTGCAGCAGGACTTTTGCCAGCATTCTCGCGACGTTGCAGCGCTGTGAAAATGGCTTGCTGTGGAGGTCGCAGCACTGGATGTTGCATCGAAGGTACGACCTCGTAGCATGTGCTAAACCAAAAAAATCAAACATTGACTTGCGTCTGTGGGAGTCTGTGAGAGAACGCCCACTCCTGCCGTGGTGACAGATTCCAGGGCCACGTTGAGGGCCCCTATCTCACCACCCATGGCTGCTTCTGGACTTGTGTTAGGTTTGGATCCCGCGCACGGACTGACTGGCCACGAAAATGTTAAAAAAATTGTAAATGCATTGTTTTGGGTCCTGGGTGGCTCGCATACCGTGGCACTATGCCGGAATTTTGAGTTTTTCCGGCCAGGAAAGCCTTTCATTGAGGCGGAAGAACTTTTAAATAAAGTCCACAGCATAGTGGCAGGAGTGTGTAGCGAGAATTGCAATCAAATCCATTGAAAGACACCAGAGTTACGGTCAATTGAATGCCATTTGAAATTTATGGGTAGGCTGCTACCTTGATTGCCAATCATGAGATGCAGCTAGGGTGAAGAACGCACAACCGGAATCGTGGCTGTGGTTGTGAGGTTAAGGGACCTCCGCCAACCTAGGGTCTCGAGCTGCACTCGGTCGCGCACACCTACAACTGAGGTAGACCAAATTTGCGATGAAGACCCACAGCTGTGTACGAAAGCATGCAAAACTACTGCAAACTTCTTCACTCCACCATGTAATCAGAACAATAATCTGCACCTACCTTTGACGGCATTACTCTATTGAGTTGAACAAGAAATTGGGAGCTACAGTAGAATCTGTAACTAAAGACCAGCGTGATTGGCGACCAGCCTGGTACTACAGACCACTTTGCCTGATGGTCTCAGCCTGATGGGCACAGATGGTCTCACATTCATTATGCGATGAAGTGCAAATCTCTAACAAAGGACCAGGTGCCACTAAAGACCGCTTTATCTGGCCCTTAGGGGTGGTCGTTAGTCACAGGTGTTAATATACATGTAAGTACAGTCAACTTCGCTAATAACGACTGCGGATATAACGACAATTCGCGAATAACGACCAAATTTTCATGCCCAGAGCATGAAAATTCCCAAGTCCCATCTACCTGTAACCATACGACTTCGGATATAACGACGATCTGAATAACGACAGTTCGCAAATAGCGCAGACGCGTGCTCGGCGAAAGGCACGGGGGGCGCGTGTACTCCCAAAAATTTTCAATCTGGGTAATTGCTATTGTAATGTATGCAAATATGCTCTAAAATTCAAGAAAGGTTGCAAACAAATTGCAGAAAATTGCCGGGGGGGCCCTCGGCTCCCATGCACCCCCCTAGTTGGGGGGCCGAGCACGCCCCTGTAGCGACATGCCTTTTAGTGCCCGGAGGTCATATACACTGCTAGTCATTATTCAGCTGACCTCCGCGATACGAAAAAGTGTGATCTGCACTCCGTGAACAGCTTTGCTTCCTGTTTGACAGCTTCTTATCACCTGCTTGCCTGGTCGATTCGCAAATTATGGTGATTTTCAATGGACATGATGCCATGCGATTGCTTGATATGCAGAGAACGTGCATGGAACAGGTCAGCTGCCCTGAGCCCCAATTATGACGTGGAGCACACTAACTGAGAGATAGAGACTGGTAAGCCTGCCTTGAACAGGAACTGTGACCGGCTGTGTTTCAGAAGAAGCAGCTACGGACCAGCTGTCTATCCTCAATGTCCCACGCTCATTTCGGTACGTGCAAGAAATATCTAGTTACGATTGTAGCATGCTTGATTACAAGCGGATGTTTCAATGGCCTGCGCAACTGCACCATCTACCCTTGCAAGAAGCAGCATGTTGCGCAATTCAGATGACACTGCGTTCTTTGTGAGCAGCTCGCCAACAGCATACCTAATCAGGTGGTAGTCACGGGAGCGTAAAACCAGGTGCTGTACAAGCATATTGGCATGACCCGCACAGAGCAGATCAATGTGTCCGAGCTTGCTCTAAGCAACACCGTGTGTACCTTGCTGTTTTATTTGTTGTTGATTTTTTCTCCAAAATCAAGTAACTTCAAAGCACAAAAGATAAATCAAAAACTATCCCATTTGCAGGCGCATGAAATTCATGTTCTTAGAAATACAAGACTCATGATAGTCTCCGACTGTTACACCGGCAAGCGAGCCTCCGCCACTGCCAAAGCAGCGTGGAAGTTTTTTTCATGTCTGCACAGAGCAGATCAATGTGTCCGTGCTTGCTCCAAGCAATACCGTGTGCATCTTGCTGTTTTATTTGTTGTTGTTTTTCTCCACAAACAACAAGTAACTTCAAAACACAAAAGAAAAGTCAAAAACTAAACCATGTGCAGGCGCATTAAACTCATGCTTTTTTAGAAAGACAGGACAAATGACATATTAGTCAGTCGATAGTTCATGATATTCTCCGACGGTTACACCGGCAAGTGAGCCAAAGCAGCATGGAAGTTTTTTTTTATCGCTCTGCAACCATCCTGAAAATTGAATTGCATCGTTGTTTGTCGTAGCGAACCGTATGTTCATGTCCAGAAATTTATAAGTAGCCCCATTTATGCGCCCTTCTAATGTCCTGTATAGTGTGCCTTGGAGGGTCTAAGACTTGAACATTTCTAAATAACTACAACGAAGTTATCAATGCCGGTTTCTGAGGCATCGACTGGTGTCAAGTACTTTTATACTTGTAGAGCTTTAGGTATCCAGGGTAGCGGGTGCAGGTTTTGTGCCTGGCTTTCATCTGGTTCGACACTATTTGAATTGTGTTTAATGTTCATAAACTGCCCCCCTCCCCCACCAACCCCAACAAGAAACAGTTTTGTGAAACAGGGCATTTGTACAGCTGAGACTTAGAAGCCATACTCAATACAAAGCAGTTATAGTGTGTGTGTTGGGGGGGGGGGAAGGGGGGGGGAGATATGGGTCTTGATAAATGATGGTTTGCGTTCCGCAAACCGTAGTTAACCTACATGTCACAGAGCCGCATCTCCCGCATGGAGATGCCGTCCGCAGACACGCCAAAACCGGCTAAGTCTCATACGTGCTCCGCTAAAGTCGTACGCACTGCCGGGCTCCCGCGCGGGGCCCCACCCAAGCATTCGCAACCGCGATGCGCGTACGGCATGCCGTATAAGCCACCTATCCCCCTTGGGTGCAAGCTCACCCAAGGCCACCCTCGCAAGGCAGGAACACGTAAAGACATTCACCAGTTGTTTGTTGTGCCTGCCCGCCGCAGAAATTGTTTGAAATTGTCTCCTCTAAGCTTCCGCTCTCAGCGATAGTCTTACACCCACCATGGCTTTCTCGCAGGCACAAAGGGAGTCTATCCAGCAGATCAGGGCAGCAGCCCTCAGCGGCAACACACCGGAGAACGCCACGGAGCAAGAAGACGGTATGTGTGCTGATGAATTC